TCCAGCATCTGCAGTTCCTACTATTCCTGGTGTAGAGATGTTTTTCTCATATGTGTTGTTGACAGGTGCTTTGGCCTTTTGAGAGGCAGAGAGAGCAATTCCTCCAGTTCTGCAGTCGCAAATCCGTCTCCCCTACTCTGCCAAAGCAGTTTTCTGCGATGCGGTTGGTTGTATGTGATGACTGGGTGTTTTTGTGCTTGATGATTGTAGCTGACGTCTTTCATTTTCAATACGTGAAACCTGTTACACAAGTGTAAATCAAAGTAGATGGAGGTTTCTTCATACCTGGTTGGATGGGTCTTGTGCTAAAAATGTCAAATTCTGTTCAGAAATATAACTGTACCCACATCCATTACACGTCTGGAAATTCATTCCACACACTAACTGTTCTGTATATTTTAAAAAAAAATTACCCCTTATGTCTTTTTTTTAAATATTTCTCCTCTGTCCTTAAAAATTTGCCCCAGTCTTGAATTCCCCTGCTTGAGGGAAAAAGACACTGCCATTCACCTTATCTGTACCCCTCATGACCTTATAAATTTCCACAAGGCCACCCCTCAACCTCCTCCGTTCCATGAAAAACACCCCAGTCTTTCCTGTCCACTTTTATATTTCAAACCCTCCATTCCCGGCAACATCATGGTAAATCTTTTCTGAGCCTTATCCAGCTTACTCTCCATCTTATAACAGGCTGACTAAAACTGGGGAGAGTACTTCAGAAGAGGCCTCCCCAGTGTCCTGTAAACCTCCACATGATGTCTCGACTCCTATAGTCAAAGGTCTGAGCAACGAAGGCAAGCATGCTAAATGTCATCCTAACCACCCTGTCTACCTGTGATACAAATTTCTAAGCGTTATGTACCTGAACCCCTAGGTGTCTCTGTTCTACTTTTTAATTGTATAAGTTCCGCATTTGTTTGTTTTACCAAAATGCAATACCTTGCATTTATCAAAATTAGACTCTATCTGCCACTCCTCAGCCCATTGACCCAATTGATCAAGATCTCTTTGTAATCTTAAATAATTTTATTAACTGTCCACTCTACCACCAATTTTGGTGACATCCCTATGAACCATGCCTTTTATATTCTCATTTAACTAATTTTATTAAAAATGATAAAGAAAAGTGGACCCAGCCCCAATCCCTGTGGAACGTAGCTGGTCATAGGCCTCCAGACTGAAAAACCATTAAAGTCATACAGCTATTCAAAATCAGACAACAGAAATATTTCATCACTGTCACAGCAGCAAGTACTGTAGAACTTAAGGTGGTCAAGTCCTTTTGGTCCTGCATGCATTAACCCTGTGATGTTCAGGTGTAGAGTGAAGGTGGTCAAGTTGGAGATGGCCAGAAGTTTCAAAGGGAGAAATGCATTACAAGTTGAACTCTCGTTCCAGTGAGCGTTGCAGACCTGAACATGATGGTTGAGTAAAAGTGGAAGACTGGGTAAGAGGCGCATTTGCCCCTCCAATATTACACAGGCAGGGGATATAAGTGAACTTCAGCCATGATCGGTGTGTGTTAGTGACTTGACCACCTAGAGTGTGGACTAACATGCTGTGAAGGTTACAGCTTTGAGAACAGCTGTTAAACATTTCTGCCCTGCAGGTAAAGAAAGGGAAATAAAGCCAAGTGCTGACAGCCATCTTGCTGTTAAAAGAAACCAGAACAAAGGAATTTCAATCAACTGAAAGGCTAAGAGTCTTGAAATTGACTGGTAACCCTGCTGTTGGTGGTTGTCGGTAGTATCTACTTTGTGACAGCCACGGTATTTACTCTCTAAACTGATCCACTTTTTGATTGGACTTTTCATTTCTAATTGTGTTTCATTAATTCTCATTTTAGTGATGAATAAGTTCATTCTTTTGTTGAGAGAGCCCTGTTGGATCCTTTCAAAAAAGTCATTTGGCCTTGGAGAAAGGGATTCACGAGGTGTTTCTTTGTAAGTTAATCTTGTTATGATCAACCAAGGGGCAACTGAATAAGTAGGGGAGTTGCTCAATTTAGTATATTTCATCTGAAGCCATAATAACTTGGGGAACTTATGCTATAATCATTGCTATTTGAAAGATCGACACCTGCCTGTCACAAAGATGCCAGTTCCCATGAATGCACAGGATACAACAACCAAGGCCCAAGACCAGTCAATTATTCCTGCACTTGCAGTAGGCACCATAAACTTAAATTCAAATTGAGGATCCCATCTTTTCCCTCCCCACCCACCCCAATCAACACCACTCCAGTATTTACATAAATGCATTTTTAAACATGCACTGCTGCATGTGTGGGCACTGACCATCTTTCGTTGACACCTTGGGGTACACAAACCCCACTTTTTTCTTAAAGGGTCAAACATATTGTATAAAAATGTGTTTGAGCCACGTTCAAATTTCAGGTAAATAGGTGTTGATCAGATTCTAAAACTGTTGACATTGGTCCATCCTTGATCCATTTTTTTTCTAATTAGAAATAAATGCCTTGAATCCTAGTACAGGGAACACAATCTTGAAATATGCTAACAAATGATAAGAAATATAAAATACTATAAGACTGAGTGGGTTAGCTGAATGGACAGTTAAAGAGTCTACTGCAGACTCTGTAAAGCAGATCTTTTTGGGGAAAGAAGCAATGGAGTATTTAACTGAAAGATCTATCTGAAAGAAAGGTATGGGGGACAGAGCATTGAGGTTAAAATGCATAATAAGTTGGGTAGATAGCACATTTTGGGCATTATAATTGAGGCATGGTGGAGAAAATAAATATTGGTCTCTTTACGTAATATGTCCATTGCAGCAAGGTCATTAAAGCCACATTATAGATTTGCGCAGATAATACCAGGATGGGATAGAAGTACTTTGATTAAGTCTTCTGTGCACTAGTGGAAATAATTCAATTAAGAGCTTTTAATGAGAAATTTGACAAGTGTGAGTAGCAAAATAAATTTGCTCTGGTCAGGAAGTTAGAGCATAGTGGCCATTAATTTAACATTATAACTTAGAGGAAAGAAATGTGAGAAATTAGGAAGGCATAATATTTCCCTGAAGCCACCCCTTTCTGAAGTTTAGCTTTCACTGAATGATTACTGTTGGATTGTTGACCTTTTCAAGAAAGATGAGATTGTCATTACCACTTTGTGATACTACCCAAAACCCCAACACTATAAATAAATGAGACTGATCTTCAATGACCCTCAATTTTGATCTTGAAGTAAATATATTGCACTTGGTTTTTCTCTGGTGAAGTCTTCCTTCCTGTTTCATACTTTGTGTTTGTGCTGTCATAAGACTATATGGGAATAGGAGAGGAACTAAAAAGCCACAACAAAGTATTTCTAAAAGTGAGATACCTTAAAACCAAAAAGGACTTGGTTGATGATCCCAGAACTTTATCCTTTCTTTTCAGCAACTTGCCAAGGTACATAGAAATGCTTTTACAAATGGTCAAGGTGTGAGCCTAACTTAGGTAGTTCTGGTTGAGTGGGGTTATCAATATTGTAGCTCTTGAGTAAATTCAACAGAGCACGAGGCAAATGAGAGTCTCCTGCAGTCGTGTGAACTTTCAAAAACGATCCTTATTAAAAGGAAAGTAGATTTTATACCAGAGATAGTAGGAATTGCAGATGCTGGAGAATCTTAGATAACAAGGTGTAGAGCTGGATGAACACAGCAGGCCAAGCAGCATCAGAGGAGCAGGAAAGCTGATGTTTTGGGTCTAGACCCTTCTTCAGAATTCCAGGATAACTTGCAAGATGAGGTGGAAAAGGCAATTCCTGCGACTCAACATTTGCCACAGTATACTTGAGTACATGTGTACAAAATCCTAATTGGCTTTGGCTAACTACTTCCTAATGTATTAAATACTCCCATCTTCATACTTTTTCTTCAGAAAATTTCTACGTGGGTTACATCTGAAATTTTGTTCCTAAGAATTGCTGTCGTCCTTTTCAGTCATGTCTGATTTTGGTTCACAGGGAAAAACTCCACTTAGAAAAGTTACAGTGGAAGGTGGGTGCAGTGTTTTGAGAGGGGCCGTAACCAAACAAAACATTAAACTTGTATTTGAGAAGTTTGTAGAAACCTCTGAAATTTCATTCTCTTGAGTACTTTTCCTAGTGTAATTTTGTTGATCGAGATCGTGCAAAGAAATCATGATGTTTGAAAACCTGAGGAGTATTTCTTTTTCCTTTTTGGTTTGATTTTTCTTTTGACTTCATCTCTTGCTCTTGCCCGATGCTCCTGCTGAAACACTCAGGGCTGAGGTATTATTAGCTTGACTAAGATGAAATGACTCACCGCAGAATGAGATTTGAACCTGGGACCCTTTCCCTATTAAATTCATCATAATTTCAAGTAAAATGAATCCCACTGGGTTGTATTAATTCTCTTTAAACCAGTTACCAAATATTTTTCAAGTTCATTGTGAGTTTGCAGTGTGGTTTTCTTGATTCTCATAAGACTTGTCAAACTGAGTCACTTGTGTCTGAGATTTATGATATTTCTTGCATTTGTGAATGCCGGACACAGTTAAGCCACATTTACTGCAGAGTTACACTGAGCCACCAAACAAAGAGTTCCTCTTCATTCTGTGTGAAAGACAAATTATGCAGATGGGCTCTTGACATTGATCTGTTTGGCAGCCACCTTAGTGCCATGACTTTACGCTGCAAAAACGATCTTTTGCATGAAATTTGTATAAATTGAAGCTATCTGTCTAAATGGTTTTCGTGCTTTGGTGCATCTTGGGGGTCTCTGCTAATTCAAATTTTGGAGACGAGGAAAGGATCTGCTAACTACATTGTTGAACTTCGACAGCCTTTGACAACAACCATTTATTGATATTTTACATTCTGTTCTTCTGGCTTTTCTATCTATTATTTTTATTCAATTCAAAGCTGTATTGTCTGGTCTGTCTGACAGGTGTCATCTGTTTAAAGGTTTTACTGAAATTTCGATATTAATGTTCACCCCAGTGCATGCTGATTTCTTTCATTGTTCCACAGATTGGCCAAAAGAGGACCTCCTCGGCCTACTGGATAGCATGAGGAGCATTGTCCCTTCTAATGATGTGATGAAATTCAAAACAACAGAGTCTCATATGGACTGGAACAAGGTGACTTTTGCCCATTACACAGCCGAGATGTGCAAACAGAAGTGGACAGAAATCTCACATGAAGTAAGAGCAAATGTCATTACTGTTTATACCTGACAGTATGGCTTTCCTTTTAAACTGCTCAGCTAATGTAATAATCCTCAGTATTCCAATAGACTGTCCTTCAGCCTTCAATTATTTCAATCAATATGCAGTTGTCTAAATAGAGCCCATTATAGTTGATCAAGAATGTCAATTCTGAAAACTTTAATAATTTGGGGTGGCAGTTTATTTGATTCATTGCTTAATGAGTTGGAGATAGTTTGGTTCGTAGGAGTTCCCTTTGAATATCAGGAAACTCTGCAGTACCCGATCTTTATCTTCTGTCCAGATTCAGGGTTTGAAGTTGGCAAATTGCACAACATAATTCCAGCATGTGTCAGAAAGGTAGAAGCAGAAGATGTAGTCCTTTGATCTCTCATAATCCGTGCACAAGTTGATTTCAGTTGGTGACAATAGTAACAATGGAGAGGCGATGGCCTAGTGGTATTATTGCTGGACTGTTAATCCAGGGACCCCCGATTCGAATCCCGCCACAGCAGATGGTGGAATTTGAATTCAATAAATATCTGGAATTAAGAATCTAATGATGACTATGAATCCATTGTCGATTATCAGAAAAACCCATCTGTTTCACTAATGTCCTTTTTAGGGAAGGAAACTGCCATCCTTACGTGGTCTGGCCTACCTGTGACTCCAGACCCACAGTAATGAGGTCTGGTTGTTCAACCAGCAATGTGGTTGACTCTTAACTGCCTTCTGGGCAACTGGGGATGGGCAACAAATGCTGCCCAGCCAGTGACCCCCTCATCCTGTGAATGAATAAAGGAAAAAAAAATGTCCTGCGATAACGTGCAAAATGATTCATGTTAATAGGTAATCCATTAATTGCCATTTACTGTAATTTCCAAAATGATTAAAGTTCCTTTTGTAGGTGGTTATTAGAAACAAGATCTCAGAATTACCAGGTAGAAATATGGCTGAAAAGAGAAAACAAGATTGTTAATGTTTAGTGAGTACCAGTAAGGTCAGATTACAACTGGAGTTCAATAAAACCAGCACAATAATCTAATGGATGGTTTAAACAATCAGTTTTCAAGATCTGTAATTAGCAAATGAATGGCAGAAGCCTTTCAAAGTCTATAAATTATGGTGCTGTTCATGTAGGATTAGGAAATTCCAGATAGAGCTACGCCAGGCAATAAAAGTCATTTAATGGAGCTAATCTAGCAAACAATGTGCCAGAAGCGGGATGGATATTAACAAAACAAATTAAACTTTCAGGGTGGTTCTTCTAGGGTCGTGGAATACAAAATTAACATTATACTTGGACACATCCTATGCATGAGACATATTCATTTTTAGCTAGGAAAAGATGCTCTGAACAAGTTGGTAGATGATGCCAACTCTATTATGAAATTGTACTCCAATAACTGGGTTATTTTAATTTGGAAGCAAGGTGTTGGAGGGGATATATTTGGGCGGTGTATAAATATGTCTCTGTGACAATGATGACAGAGCAGTCTATGTCTGTAAAATCCATATGTAGAATTGGGTTAGCTGGATACAGATTTAGAGTCTAATTACCCTTGTTAACATTCTTCTCAATGTGGTGAAAATAATTACTTCAGTTCTGTAATAAAAGAATGTCCCAGAGTATTGTAGATAATTCAAGTTGGCTGACAATTGACTTTGCTTTAGTAGGGGAGTTTTTCATGAGAAGCTATTGTTTTCCCAATACGTGAGACACTGAAATTGCACTGCCTATTAGTTGGGTGACTTTGTGCTCTCCCTATACTATTTCCCCTTTTTGATCTGGTTGCACTTAGTTCCTTTGGCATCCTCCCAAAAACCTCTGCAATGCAGTTCCAGGATGAGCGCTTTTACCTGAATGGCTGGGTGGAAATCACATGGCTCATGTGTCCATCGGGTTGTTAACTCTTTAGTGGATTAGTTACCAATATCATCTCCCATTTTTTTGAGTATGGAACTTGAAAATGGCTGCTTTTTTTAATTGAGATTTTTTTTCAACTTCATTATTCAACCTTTATGTTATAGGTGAGAAAGTTCCGCACTTTATCAGAACTTATTATAGATGCACAAGAACATGTGAAGAATCCTTATAAAGGGAAAAAACTCAAGGTGAGCATTTGACCTGAGGGGAAACGCCTGAACTTTTGTCATTGTTTCTTGCTGTTTATGAGGAAAGAAAAATGCATTCATGAAACAACATTTTAAATTTTTGTTTTTAATATATAATATTTTGGAAGTGAAACATATTCATTGTAAAGTTATTGGTATTGCAGCCATGAAATCCAAACAATGCCTGAGGTTTTGCACTGAGCAATTCATCCTGATTAAAACTGCTGCCTTGTAATAATATATTTGGAATTTGTAATTTGATACATTTCCAATACTAGCATCTGATCCTGGCCTGACCTTTTGAACTTTAGTTTGATTTACTGAGCGCTATTTGAGGCTACCCAGTAGGAGCGTTGGAAAAACGGACTTCTCTTTCATTATGGGTGGTCTTAGGAGAGTTTTGAATAAACAGAAGCATTGGCGATGCACCTTGAGTTCTCCAACTAAAAATGCATCAATTTGTTTCCTGAATCTTATTTGTTTCTGGAGGTCTGTCAAGGTAAAGTACACTCAATTTTCTTAAAAATCTGAAAATAAAGG